ATAATATATTTATTACTACATAATTTTAAATAAGTCCCATATCTTAAAAGTAAAAATTGGTAAATAAAATCGTCATTATATACTTTAAAGTCTAAACATCTGCGTCCTAGTAGTCTTAGTTAAAGGAAGATATTTTTTTCTTTTATTATTCAGGACGTACATAAATTAATTTATTTCCAAAAGAACAACAATTACAGATAACACTGAATTACTTTTAGTTTATTTTAGACTTACACGTGCCAGTATTTCTAACTATACAAATTTAATGAGTTATTTAATTATGTAAAAGCATATTTTTTAACATTACGAATCAGATTATTTCATATCGTTAAAAACCACAGAGGTCTCCGCACAAATCCAGAATGTTTGAGTTAAGCTAAGTACCCACTAGTCCTTGGCCGGAAACGTCGTCCGAACAGAGTTGCGAGCATTTATCACATTTAATACAACTCGTCCTTCGGGATGACTTCCAGCGAATTAATTAAGCTGCAAACTTTTTAACTAAATACAAATTGTTGCTACTCCGTAATAAGTTGAGGCAGTAAAAATGTTAATTTCTGTTTGGAACTGATTTTTACCGAGCCAAAATTATATGTAAATTATTATTTTTTCCTCTAACAGAATAAAATGTCGCAATAGACTCATTTGACGTGGTCTGGAGTTCGAATCCGGGAAGGATCGACGATGTCTGTAGAAGGAACAAAGTAAAGGCAAAGTTGAGATGCAGTTTACCATTGATTCAATATTATAAATCGTGTTAAGTGTTTCATTCTAAACTACATTAGGATATTGCGAACTGAAGTAGGTATACACATGTACAAAACTTCAGTCCGCTGTAAAATTTAAGATTCGAACCCAGAACTCTAAAAGATGAGATACAACGACCACTTAAAACAGTCTTTCGTGTTTACCACTGAGCCGCCAAGAGTACGCGAGTACTGTTGCTTGAATAACAATAATCGATTAATTATGGGGACGGCTACGTTTATTAATGAATTTGGCCCAATTAAACGAAGTGTCATTTCCAAAACGTATCGCCCAGTAAGCTGAGCCCGCTCGATCAATCATTCCCTCGTTGGCAATGTACCGTGTCGTGGACAATGACGAAAGAATTGAGGAATTAGGAGTAATAAAGAAATAGTGGGACATACTTTGTCTATTGTAGGATGACACGTTTGGCAATTGAAGATAAGCAAGGGGTGGGGGGGGGGACACAACGCATCTTGTTTAGGCGTTTTAAATATATTTTATAATATATAACAAAATGCGACATGAATTTAAATCAAATATTATTAACGGTTTAATTATAATATATATATAAATTCGTACTTTCAAAGATTAGGAGATACGCGTAAGACGCCACCAGTGCTTATAGTCCATTATACCAGGTGGTATTCGTAGTAAAAAATGATTCAACGTACGAACGACTCACAGCGCTGTGTCACAAGCGAATTATAAAAATAGTGCGTACAAAAATACTCCACATAAAATACAAGAAGCGCTGCAATGCTCTGGGTATTGGACATTATCTAAGTGCTTAGTATGTGGGAATGTGTTTAATTTGCTTCGCGGGTTGCTTTATAATTATTACGAGCTTTCCATTACGTCATAGTTTTCCCTTGGTTTGTATGCAGAACATTCGTAAAGTACATATTAAAATGAGCGTACAATTCTAAGAAGCAACTCTGACTTAAAATAATAAATGGTAGGTTAAATAATTTCCAAACTTAAACGAATATATATCGCGTTTTAAGCCGTTAAAGTGTTTTAATTAAATGTGTACTACTCGCGTAAACTACACAGAGTATTTAGTGTTTGATTCTTTTATCACAGAGTTATTTTGTTTAAAATCCTAACAATTTTACGACAATAAATACAAAGTAGGTTATAATAGTCATCGTTACCAGTTACATGTAAAACTAAGTCTAATGTAGTTTACTAGCTGTGCTAGTTGTTACTAGCATCCAAATAAGTCTTTGCAAACTCCCGTCATCTTTATAAACTTAAGCTGTTAGCCACAATGTCGATCGGCTTCCCTTCCCATCGTTCTTTCAAGTTAATCTTAAAAGATAGACATACAGCGTCGCAGACTTTTTTTAGATCATTTAAAGGGGAATTATTCTTTCTTAAACAATTTTTAGTACTTCCTGCGATTAGCGCGTACAAAACAACAAACCAACAATAAAACAAACTCTTCAGCTTTCAGAGTAGCCTGAGTCGTGAGTATCTCTGATAAATCGAGACCGAATCTTCAAATAAAAACGGCCAAGTGCAAGTCGGACTCGCGCATAAAAGGTTGTTTATGTTTATTAATATGCTCAGTTTGGTAACAGTCAGACAGTGTTTGTCTTAGTATTTACAGACTGCTCGGGTTGCCTGGAAGAGATCGCTTATAGCGATAAGGCCGCCCGGTGCACTCTATAGATATAAAATTGCATAGTGTATCTGTATGTTCTGTATTTGTGTACCTACTTAGGTATTTACTTAGGTTTTTGTGTTCCTACTTAAGGTCAAAACTATTTCTTTATTTCACAAGTGTGAAATTAAGTTTAATTATTAATCCTCTTAAGATATATTTAGATTTAAATTACTTCTATGCATAGATTATCTGTAAAACGTTTTTTAGTATGCATCTGAGGTCATATGCTTTCATCTCTTTATATTATTTTTTTTACTTTTGGTGTCTCTGGTATGTTTATGCACGTGTTTATAATTCTGTGGGAATATCATTGTTTTTCGGTCTGTTCGGCCGACGTGAGCGAGAAGAGGTTCTCGACGTTTCACCATCACGTGCGGACGGCAATGCTATGCTGAACGATGGCCGTGAAAGCCTTACACAATTTATGAATTCTGTGGGCGTCATGAACAATTTAACACTATGCATTCCAGGATTTCTATATGATTTTTATAAGTCTATGAACTCTCCTGAGATGATCTTATTACCCAGTAAGTTTCTCTCTTTATTTATATGGGAATGTCTTGCTAAAATTATATGCCTTAGAATATTACTAGGTTATATAGCTTTTTAGTATTAGTTTTAATTGGTAAATAATTTATAGTATGTAAACAGATAATAATTTATATCTATATAAAATATTGTATTAAAGTTTGAAAAATTAAAATTTCTGAGAGTTTTTTGGAAATAAATTGACAGGCTGTGGCGTTTTATAATCAAGTTCTATTTACTTTTTTTGTAATATAATGTACACTAAATCCTAAGTTACAACATTAGATATTAATTAAATTCGTTTCTCGTCAGACTTTTTAAACCAAAATTAATGGCCTGGTTTTTTATAAGCATAGACAAAGTAGAAACGTACGCAGGGTGTAGTCTGGAGTAAAATGGACTTGAGAAGTGATGACGTCAGAAAGTTGTACTGCTAGCTGAGTTCTTGGGCAAAGTGGGCCAAGGACTTAGCCACCAGTTGAACTGAGGTATAAAAATATTAGAAACATTTTTTATTGCTATACTAGCGTTCTTACAAAAAGGCACAGATTACATTGTTTATTTCTTTAACAGTGCAAAACATAATTATCAACTCGTTACTTTTTATATCGCTTAGATATAATTAAGCTTATTAATTTGAATGTTTTATTGTCATGGATTATTTCACGATTTCATAGTTAGGTACAACATAAACGAAGCTTATTGGACAGCGAATATTTAGATTAAAATCCATTTGGAATCTAATAATAATTAATAGAAATAACCCTCCGCTCGAGAGATGCCCTCTATATTGTATTGATTTGTCATCCCACTCCTCATTCGAGGACAACTAAAAAATACAAAGTATAAATATTTTCATACATTCAAAATACTGCTACTCCTCATACATTCAACGAGGCATTGTTATTTTGACCTTCACGCGATGTCAAATTTTAAAATACAAAAGATACTAACTCTTCTGATTGCTGAGAGACATTATCCTTGTCTTTATGTGCCTGACCAGAGCTGCAGGAATTGCCCATGGCGCTACCGACCACAACCTATCTCAACATCACCGTTTTAATTAATAGAGACACTATTCACAACGTATTACACGAAAACAGAGGCACATGCGAAATGCTTTTGTTTAACATCGCCCGGTGTCACTGCGAAAGCGGCAAAATAAGACGCAACAAGACACACACACTCGCCGCGTCGTCGCGGACGCGAATAAAATCGATTTCGCGCCCTCTTGTCATTTGCGGGATTCGTCCCCCCGCCCTCTTCCACCTCGCTTGCGCGCTGTTCTCGTTTTCCATTTCACGTAGTTTGTCAATAAAAAAGTTTTTACATCGACATTTTGTTTTCGACTATTTTTGTTTTGCGCTCTTTCGACATTCATGACGTGAAGGAAAAAATACATTATTAAATTAAAATTTGCATGTGTTGTTGTCCATAAATATTTTTAGGACATTCAAAATACTATTTGTGACGAATTTAACACTGGCAGTCGATATTTCCGTTAAAAATTTAAACAATCGAATTATCTTCTCTTGTTTATTTTCTGTCTAATTTCAACAAGTGCTTTACAGTGCAAAGATTGTTCTTGTATTTTAGCGTTATTTTAGTGAATTATTCGTGTTACGGTTACAGATATCGTTGGATAAGATATGCCCAAGTGTTTTTTGAATTCAGTTCGGCCGTTAATGGGATTTTTCATTCACGAAACAGGTAATTTTTACACACCATTTATTCACAATATTTCCAAGAAATTCTAGCAATACAGTTATATTTTCTGCTTTGAGTATTGTTTCCCCATCTATACGTGATACGTAAATTTTAATTTTCGTAGTAATTTAAGATTTTCAATTATATCTTGCCAATCGTGTACTTTGCATTGTACCAATTTTTTGAAGACAAAACTTTGTCAAACATAATTGTGTATGGTGTTTCTTTCGAGAATATATCTGCAGTTTATAAGTACCTATTGCGTTTTACGCAATTTCTTCTTCGAAATGCCTAAAATTATAAATATTTTTTAGATGATATTGTTAAATCTGCTCGAGGCCCAAAAATGTCACCCAAAAAGCAAAAAAATCTTTTGAAAAGCAACGAAACGATTTACCACGACAAAGTTCCTATCTCCACCCGTTTCTACCTGCAACTGTTAAAAAAAAGCCAATTTTTACCACAGTTTATAGAAAATGAAAATTACGATTACGCCTCTGAAAACGAGAAACCGATAAACTCACCGGAGTCAAATAAGAAAAATTGCTTTCCAAAACGGGAAATCGACAAGTCTTCTTACAATCTCAGATCGTCCGAGAAAACGGAACGAAGGGTGTTCTGTGAGAAATCGCGGAGACGGAGAAAAAAAATCGTGGAAAATTTAGAGCCGAAAACTGAGAAAAAGCTATTGAAAGAACCACTCGCTCCAATAATAGAAGAAATAAAAAGTAGAGAACCGCTGAAAAGTTTCATTAAGGGCGGTTTAGAAATTGATAAGATCGCTGAAAAGTTGAAGAGTATCGTGCGCAGTAACGCTGAAGAGAAGTTACATAAGGAACTATTGTATTGCAAAGAGTCCTTTGATAAGGAGAATGTGGTTCCTGATGAAGATAAGGAATCAGACGCTATAAAGGAAAGTGGTAAGAATGTCATACAATTTTTGTATTTAGGAATCTTCTTTAACACGAAATATTAGCTTGACAAGACAGGAATTGAAACCGCGTTTGTTGCGTATAATAATCACAAGGTATAACTGTAACGATCGGTTTTTCGAACTTTACTTACCCGGGTTTTAGTAGAGTGTAATAAAACTAGCTTTGTTTCTTGTGTTGAACGTCATTTTCATACTAATGGTACTTACAGACGCCCTAACCTAAAAGAAGGGTATTTATCAGTTTTTCTTCAGAGCTAACTTATACAATTTCTAGAATGCCAGGAAGAACGCCGGCCAAGACCGAGTCACAAGTGTTCCTACTGTGGAAAATGTTTTGATAGACCCTGGGTATTAAAAGGACACCTGCGTTTACATACCGGCGAAAGGCCATTCCCTTGCCCCTACCCATACTGTGGAAAGACCTTTGCCGATCGGTAATTATGGCGTTAAATTTTTTATGCCTCTTTGTCTTTGAGTAAGGTTGTCCTACCATCTGGGCGAAGACTGTAGTTTAACAGATTTTTATTATTAAATCACAAAGACAATGAGTTCGACAGCACATCTTGAGACGTAAATGGCTGGGGTTATTTCACCTTCCATCAAGTGGTTCCCATTAATATATGTTCTACTCTATCCTAAAAAAAGACGTTACTCCACATGATTAATATCATAAAGTTTATTTGTTACACATTGGCTGTAAAATCAGTCTAATTCCTTGTCCATTCTTCTTTCCTCCCGCAGTTCGAACCTACGTGCGCACCAACGTACCCGCGGTCACCATTCGTGGCAGTGGCGTTGCCAGCACTGTGGCAAAGCGTTCAGCCAGAAGAGATACCTTGATCGGCATCGCGCTGACGCCTGCAAAAAGTATAAGTTAGTATCGTTTCATTCGTTACAACGTATTCGTTTTTGTTTATCAGCTCTGATTGCTTTTGAATCATGCTGTTGAAGTGCCACAATCTCTTGTTTCTTAACTATAAGAAGCGGCATTTCCTTTGTAGATTATTATTCTATTACTTTCTATTCTACCAATATTTCTTCTATGTCAATAACCATATTTACAGAATGAACACGAAACGAGTGTCCCCAATCAGCGCTCCGCCAAAGAAAGAGAGTGTCCCCCTTTACGGGATGATATGTAATAGAAGTGTGCTGACTAAACCTGACGTAGAAGTGGCCAAGAACAATGACTGGAATGAGGAGCCGATCGATTTGTCAATGGGAAAGAGGATGGAAGACTAAATTTGTTACAATTACTCTTGGGTTTTCGAGAAGCCGTCGTAATTGCGGTATTGTTTTGGCGTTTCGCTATCACAATTGGTGATATCATCAGAAGTCATTGAGCTTTCCTCGGCGCAGTAAAGGCTGAGTAGACTTCGATTTATACTCAAAACACAGAGAACCACTTACGACGGTCGAACGGTTCAAAAGCTTTAGCTTTGGAAAATGGCCGTAAAGTGATATACTTATTTACACACAACAACATTTATAATCGCCTGAGCCAAGAGTAAGTTTGCACGGATAATATGTTAAAGCTATTATATTTAATATCCTCAATTTATGTCATGGAATATAATTACCAAGTAGGCGTAGCTGTGCATAGCAATATGTATTACATTTATTTCAACTTTACCTTTGACTGATATTCAATACTAATAGTATTAAGTTACTTTGAGTGTAAGATGTATTATTAAAGATTATACTTATTTGATTTTCGTTTATTATCGCTTGCATTTCCCTAATCCAAATTAAACCTGGAGGTATGCTGATTCGCTGTCTCTATCTAACTCGTAATGCGAAAACGACTACCATTTACTTACTTAGTATAATAGTCGATCGCTTGTAGGTACTAACTGGCTGAAAGACCAACGAACGGCCATTTAGTGTAGGTGACAGAAAACTTTGTATGGGGCAGCCACTCGCTCGTAGCCGATCACTCCTTTTACGATCTCCTTAAGTCTTGTCCAGCTTGTGTACATAATAAAGTAGTAGGAACCTAACGTCTAATATTAAAATATATAACCATATAATCTAACAAATAAAACAAGAACCTACAACACATCATTTATTTACACATAAATATAACATTAAACATAAGGAAAACATTAAAACTTTTTACCATACGTAATCAGTAAGGGCCTTAAGTAAATGCATTTTATGCAAAAATAATTCGCAATGTAACTAATGTTTCTTAGGTTGCACTAATGTCAATATTACTAAGTAATTATTAAATTGTTTGAGAAAGTAACGGTTATTTATATGAACAAGGAAAATACTAGTAAACGTTTGATCAATCTCATATTTGTTACTTAAAGCGGGTGTCAAATTTTATGAAGCGAATAAAAGTATGTAGAAATATAGAACGTAAATTTTAAGTTAAGCACTGTTTAAACAACCATCGACTTATGTCTAGCCGTAAAGGTTAGAAAAATCGTAAAATAAATTTTCATATTGAACCTTTGGCACAAAACAGCCCTTAGACTAGATAACTAACAACCAATCTCACGTTAAAACTACTCTGTACTGTACTGTTCATTCAATGTTATGTTACAACACTACATAGACTTATGTAGTTTTTGTTAACTTAGGCTTATAATTTTAAAAATCATCATGATACTTTTGTCAATTTAACTTTAAATAAATCTTTAAATCGAAAGGAACAAAATATTTTACGAGAATGCTAAAAATATTGTTGAATTAAATAGTCTTAATCTATAATCACATAGCAAAGTTAATAAGCGACAATCAGAAATATACTAAAATTCATTAAGAGCACGTACACGTTACTGTTACATTAATAAAAAATGTGCGTTATATTCGTTAAAAAATTAATAAACATATTTACTATATCTTGTATGTTTTATCTTTTTCCTGCATGTATAGTTTTTAACTCACAGAAAAGAAACAAACATACGATAATTTACTGCGTCTTGCATGTGTAGTTTTCACCTTGCAGGCAAGAGACAAACATAAGATAATTTACTACGTCTTGTACGTGTCGTCTCTGTCCTGCATGTAGATTTCAACCTGCAGGAAAGAGACAAACATAAGATAATTTACTACGTCTTGTACGTGTCGCCTCTGTCCTGCATGTATAGTTTAAAACTTGCAAGAAAGAAGAGACAAAGATAAAATTACTGTTCCGGGTATTATTAATCAGCTGAAAAAAGGTCCTTCATGTAAGTTTTTAATACAAATTTTGGCGGCAAAATAATGCGCGGTGTTGCCACACTAGAACTCAATATTGCACGTTCACATTAAAAGGCACATTTTGCAACATCGATACGCATTTTGAGGTGCATACAATAAACTCTATATAAAGTACAAATATTTAAAAATACATTTTGCTTATTACGTTTTTCACTTTCGTATATGCTTATTCGAAAAGTAATTTAGATTTTCTTTGACACTGAATATTTTGCAACTTTACAAGAACGGCATTGTTTTCGTCAAATTTTTCTTCACGTCTTATTGTTACTGTTATTAATTAGTTTTGTGTCGGCAGTAACGTCGTAAAACCTATACTCCACTGTACTTTCAGATCACCCGTAGTGTTTCACAAATGTTCCAATGTAACCTGAAATTGTAATATAAAAATGAGTAAATGTGTGTAACAACATAACTTATAACCACTATTATTATTTCTTTGTAAAGCCGAAATAAAAAACAAAACTTAAAAAATATTTGTGTTATCCAGAATTCGAATACACAAAGTTTAATATTTACTCAGGATTATAAAGGCGGCTCTTCTCGTAGTCCCTCGCTGTGCCGGGTCCGACCCGCCATGTCCAAAATGGCTTTCGCTTCAGGATTCGTGTCCAAAATACTTATGTCACGTTCATCCTAAAGATAAAAGATTGCTTACACATAATATAAACATATATATTTTATTAAAATTAGTACAACTTTTCTACTAAAATGTTGTTGTTTTTAAAACGGTGTTAGGGTTAAATACTGTCTATAGTTCACGCGAGTAGTACACATTTAGTTTAGTTATTTTAAAATGATTTTGAAATTTTTAATAAGTTTAACTAATATATCGCGTTTTAAACCGTTAAAGTGTTTTATTTAAAGGTGTTAGGGTTTCTATTTTTTTACGATTAACTAACTTATTTAAAAATAGAGATTTTACTGCGAAACGTTTCAAGGTACCCAAAAATATGTATGACAGATTGATTTATTCCTATTTAAATAATCAAAAAAAAAATGTCCGCGACAGTATGTCTATCTATTTTGTAAGATTAACTTGCAACAGCTAATTTAAAAAGATTAATGAAGAGATTTACAAAAACTAATTTTGACGCCTTAACTAACTACTCTACGAGGACGAAGTAGCTGGCACAATTAAGTTAACTTACTAATTGCATTATCGTGCTTTAAACCGTAAACAGTGTTTTATTTAAATATCTACCAGGAGATAATAATGTGAGCAGAAGTCAATGCAACAAAACTACTTAAAACAATTAATATATAGAGTTCAAAATCACATTTACAAGTACCAGAAGATTAGGTAGGACGAACATCTGGCAGATCCTCACTGTAAACCGGTTTTCCGATCAGATGCATGAAATGCAATTCGGACTTGTGCGCGTCTAGAGCGCTACTACGTTGCGACAGGGTTAAGTGCTGGGAATAGGAATCGAGCTTAGGAGAGGAAAGGTTTAAACTTTACTAGACTAGATGAAATAATTAATTTATAATTTTTATTTATATATGATAGTTGAACCTCTTGCATGACCACGTCTTGAACGATTTTAATGGAATCATTGGTGTATGTAAGTTCGTAATAACACGAATTATACCACTGTGATTAAGACTTTCAGTAAAAAAATAAAATATTTTTTTTTGTATTTGAAATAACTAAGAGTAACATGTAACATTGGGTCTATACAGCGCACAAAACAAACTGGCGATCATAATTTTCAAATATATAAATTCATTTTGTTTTTCTGTTAACGTTACCTCATCTTTATCAAGCGATGGTTTGTCCCCAACACCCCAAACCTCAATGGAACGGAAGCGGAAGTGAGGTTCTTTACTAAGACGCCGGTAGCCACGGAAAGTGGAACATGACTCCGATGAAGAACCTTCACCAAATGGCTCTGCCGGTATCCATATGCCACCAAATTCCAATTGACCACCCATTAACTGTAAAGTAATATAAATATGGATTTATAAAACGGATAACACTAGTACAAAAGTACGGATTTGCTTGTCGGTAAATGTGGTTCACACTTACCATACCATTAGGCAGTGTTTTAGTATGATGGTTCATGTATTGATAGTGGTCGTTGTAGCTCGTAGCAGGGTATATGCGCATGCGCGGTGCACACGTAAACAAGAATGCCTCATCTGTCCCCGTCCAATTAGGGCTCCATGCCCAAGAGGCGGTGGCGAAGCCCCCGAATATGAAACCGCTGTTGTCCTCGATGATAAGAATGGATGGACCCTGTTCTTGGATACGACCTGAAAAATTACATTACAAAATCTGATTAATCTTTATTACTTAATGTAGGATACATACGTCTGTTTTATTATATTTAATTTTCCTATAGACAAAAATACAGTCATAAAAAAATCCTTACCAGCCATAGTGGAGAAAGATTCTCCATGAATATGAGAGGAGAATAGGAAACGCCATTTGTGCTGGTACTTTTGTGGAAGGTGGCTGTTGATCCAAACTATGTGAGAGAGGTCGATGAAGGCTGGGTAATCTGGCATTGCATCTAAACCTAAGAGAGAAATAATTAATCGTAAAATTGCAGCAATTTGCATAATTCGCCCTTATACTATTGTATGACAATATTAACCATTATATTACAACAGGTATATTACAACCATATATTATAATATAATACATAGCAAGATAAATATATGTTAGATAGAAGATTTGCCCCAATATTTGTTCGTTTCCCTCTTAACCCAAGGCACAACCCTTAACCAATCAGAGGCGAAGATTTTTTTCTGTGTAGTGTATCTTAAAAATCAAATGATACATTGCTGATTAATTTAAGAAATGAGAACTTACCCTCAGACCCGGGTAGCATAGTGGCGGGGGCGGGAGGTAGAGGCGTCGGGCTTTCATCTCCGGAACGCTTGTTTATTCCGTATAAATTAACAAACACCAGCTCAGCCAATTGCTTTAGTAGAATGTTGGATTGCAACCTGAAACCAGGAGTTTTTTTTTAAATAGCTTTAAAAATATTTTTTGGATGAGTAGGAAAATACTAATCATGTCGCATCCTGGTTATGCGTACGGAACGTCAACAACACATACGTCACTTCGACGTGTACAGAGTCTAGGCGACGGGAGAGGGCAACGATAATAAAAAGGAGCGCATTTATTTTGTCGGACTGCGGGTGAGGTTCCGTCCAGCTCTTCAAGCTTCCACCCGCATTGCGGCGGCCTAATCCGAGGCCGATCCCCCCTCGGGGCCGCAAACACGACGAGCGCTCGCCCAAACATTCGGTTAGTATTTGTAGACCCGGGCTCAATACGTAATAATCAGTCAAAAAAAAAATTAGTCGGACTGCAGTTATCGTTCGCATCACCTGTCAAGGAACTGTACTGTGTTATTTCTTTGATCTTGTGTAACGGGACTATTATTATTTCTCACCCGGAGCCCTGCTGATTCCGACAATGAGTGACCAAGAAGATAACGTTCCTCCGACAAATTAATAAATAACATATATACAGATCACAACCAGCCAAAAAATTATACCGAAAAATGGAATTTTTACCTTATAATGCGAGTATTGTAAGGGTTTTGCCATTTAAGTAGACTTGAGTAATCGGGACACGGTAGCTTAATTGGTTAGAGCCGTGTCGTATTTTTTTTCAATCTGAATAGATTTTTTATTTATGGAACAATTTTTTTTATTGATAGAGGAGGACAACATAGCACGGGTTCACTAATCAGCCTATAGCATCTGCAGAAGTTACGCTGTCGACCTTTTTTTCAAATTCACGTGTTTTAAATCTGTGGACCGGTCGTGACCCGGGCGGAATTTCTATATTCCTACCACCCATATATTAAAGTACGTTACGCTCAAAGAAATTCAAACTGGCTTTCAACTACTGTAATATATATTTAAAATAATTTTCAAAGACGTAATTGTGGTTGAATGGATTTTTCTTTAGATTATATTCTCGAACCATTTAGACAGTTGCTGAGCATTGCAATGATGGTGAGGCGAGTCCAGATCACCACCCACTGTTGCAGCCACGGCCTCGCCCAAAGCTTGGACGTACGATGCGCTAGCCCTAAACCCCTTTTCTATCCAGACGCGCGCTCGCTTGGATGTCGACGATTTGACAATCTTGATGTATGTGGACGCTATACTTTCGCAGAACTGAAACATGACATATGTGGTTTCAAAGATAAAAGGGTTTACCCATAGGAACCGCGTCGTATGTATAGCAAGAGTTAAAGCAGTGTCTCTAGTTGCGCGAGTGGTACAAATTTAAATAAAATACTTTTGACGGTTTAAAACGCGATCTTATTTAGAATTTATTTTAACATTCGCCTGAAGTTTCCGATGATCGCGGTCCTCACGTAACCGCGGTAGCTGTAAATATATATTTCGCATTTTAAACTGTTAAAAGAGTTTTATTTAAGGGTCATATTACATGATCACCGCAAAATACTGGGCATATAGATATTGTTGCAACTTCTAGTAAAATAACAACATCTTTAAACACTACCTTTTATATACCTATATAGTATCTATTATGTACTTTTCCCCAATACTGATGTATAGTATACATTTAATTACACCTATTTAATTCATAAGTGAAACGACCACAAAAATGTGTCTGTCACTAGGCGTAGAGGTTACGGGATTTTAGTTTAAACTCCCAACTCAGTTATATTATGCTTATTTTTATATGAGATACCTCTTTGAGGAGCTGGTAAGGCAGTTCTACATCCTCATTAAAGTCCTTGCCCAAACAGTTGTAGATCACGGCCAAGCGTTCTTCGACGGTGCCTGTTGAATATAAATTACAATAAACAATTACGACAGCATATATTTTACATACAACTATCATAAGCACTATTACAAAATTTAATATTATTTATTCATTATATAAAAACTTATTACTGCTTTATTGTGCCAATCTACGTTTATATTAATCTGTATAATTTATAATACTTCTAAACGGGTGGACTAGTTTAGTGTTGTTTTTTAAGACATAAACAGTTACAGAATTTGTGTTAGCCTAATAAATGGTTTTAAATATTAAATCTATCCCAATTAAAATATAAAAAATTATAAATAAATACAATAAATAAGATATTCTAGATGTGAAGATTTCTATAGAAGAGACAAGCAGGAAGAATTGTTATATTCTCTTTATATTAGCCTACCTGCTATGTTACTCACCTCTGACGTTGTATACGTATAGCTCCGCGAATCTATTAAAGTCACACGTTGGCGACTTCTGCTGACCAGATCCAAAGAGGAAGTTTGACAGGTATTGGGCTAACCTTGGATCTATTTGGGGACCCCAGTATTTCTGTAAACATTAGAAGTTAAGAAATATAGTTAAAAATAATTTTAAAATTCATAATATTATATTTAATTCGGGAGTTTTAAACCTGACATGTTTAATATATCGGAAGACATAGTAAGATTCATTGTATGTTTTTTACTCTTAAGCGTAATGCCTAAATAAGTGGATTAAACTCCTCGATACAAGATAAATTATATTGTGTTCAATTACTTATGGATTTTTAACATAAAACCAAGAACCCTTTTTTTGTCTAATTGTAAAATATAATATCTGTACTTTCCTAGTAGTACACATTTACTCGACACGGTAGCTGCAAAGGATCCGGAACGTTGGGTCGACATTATAATAAATAACCAATATATATTTCCTAAACACATCTATAGTGAAAACAAAATTTGTTTATTAAGTTATTGTAGTAAATCCATCAAAAAATAATAAAAAAACGCCTTTAACCAGTGAGCTCAGTGGTTTAATGGGATCGACCTGATTCGGAGGTGGTGGTTCAAATTTTGGGATCCGATCAAGACTAGGACTGTGAGTTAAAGAGAGCTGCGAAACGGACACTTAAGTGCGCCTCTTTCATGCTCCAGTCTCTTAGGGCAACGAGGAATTTTACCAACGTAAAATAGGCCAAACAGTTGTTAAATTGTTTTAATAGAAAAGACGTTGTTACGAAATAGAATTCAGTTCAAAGTTTATATTCCAGACACTTTTATGTTTAACACATATTTTTATGACTTGATAACGTAAGCAAACTATCATTTTTAGTTAAACAATGTCTTGATATGTAAACATAGGACATAGTACAATAATTCGTGATAGGTTTTTGGAAGTATGAAGCTCAGTTATACCTACCTAAGCATAGTTGTTAAGAAACCCACAGACTGAAACCGAAACGCGATTAAACGGTGGTGGTTCGTGACCCGGACAAAATTTCCAATTCCATACTACCCAGTGAATATCCAGACTTCCAGACAAACTCAGAATGTGCCAGAAAAATGAAAAACGTTAGACCCGGGTGGGATCAAACCAACGACCCGTTTATTATTCGCGATAGATTGCTAGCATTAGGCCAACGAGGCCGTTAAAATTAATTTGGAATAAAATATCGGGAGTTTGATTTCGCTATTTGAAATAAAATAAAAAACCTAGTAGGTACCAATAAGGTTATAGTTCTAAGTATTACAACGGTTTTTTACTCCTCGCCATGGAGACCGCGTTAAACTGTCCTGGTTATCATCACAAATGTAGTGGCGACGTTAAAGTCCGCCTAGCCGCACAAAAGCAGTGTCGAGAGTTTACCCGCTCTATACAGAAAAAAAACAAAACTTGAGGCCAGCATTGGGACATAAGCAGGATGAACATTATCAATGTCTATACAAACTGGCGTAGGTACAATATTTATCGAACACGATATTAAGAGTTGCCTACGCAAGGGATCTCTAAACCATATTTTCTACTTATACTTTTCACACAAAAACGTATACATTGTAAGTTTTAAAAACCTCTGCAATATCTCACGTCGATCAAAAATATTTATACGCCGGCGTGGTTTACATCAATCCGTCTATAACAATAGATTAGGTATACCCGTGTAGGGCTATGAAAAATCGTCGAGTTGGCTGTACAGACTGAGTGTTTTAGTACAGATATTGAAATTAAGGCATTTTTGGCAGGTAACAAAGTAATGCAATTTAAGTTAAAGCAAACCAATTAGTCAGAAGAAGAAGAGTTAACTAAGATTTCGTGACAGATGTCCGTAGACTCTGAAAATTATTGGTACACTACATTGCAATGCTTTGGAACTTTGGAAATGCGGAAAAAGCGGGGAAAATAGATATTCTGTACTCATTCCGCGATACCTAAAAAATAAGTACGACAACATATTTCTTAATTGAATATCCTAATTTTTTATATGGCTAACTCATGAGACGTGTAAAACAACGTTTGCTAAGTCAGCTAGTATGTACATACATCGAAGACGCCCATGGCCCATGCGCAGTCCTTGGTTATTAACAGAAGCTAATAACGGTACGCCGTAAGCAGTGCCGTTCGCGTCAAGGTATCGTATACAGTAAATCCATTGGGGTGACGTCAAGTCCAGCAATTCCGGTAAACAATTCGACCGAGAATAACTGGTAATTGACGGAATCGGTGTATAAAAGTGTTTTCTTTTGTACGTACTTTTTGAAGTCCATTACGTTCGATTTATTTCGATTAGGTTTGATTGGATTGGCGTCGGATTTATTTCGAAACAATTTTCAGATTACGGAATTGTTATTTAAATTTTAAACGAATATTGTCTGTAGTTTACACGATTTAAATAAAATACGTTTAACGCATTAAAACGCGAGTGACCAGGCCTGTAAGCATACGAAACGTTGGGCCGTAATTGAATTAAAAATGTGCTAAATAACATATCGTTTTAAACTTTAAATTATCTTATTGAAATTAAAACGAACACTAACGACTACGTCCTCATGCTGACGTGCATCCTGCGTAAGCGGTCCACACATTACTTTGAAGTTGTATTATTTTAAGTGTAACTGAGAATCCCCTGAGCGAGAACCTATTGATGAATTATCTTAGATTTTAGGAAGTACTTACTATTAGAATTGGTTGATAAAAAAAATCAACATATTTTGGATATAGAAAGCTGACTCACAATTTCTTTGTCAAAAATAATTTTAATAATATGTATGTGCATTCATATTAATAAAATTATTTTCGACAAACATCATCTAACACGTTGAAATACAACGATACAATTTAGGTATCTTTTTAGCAATAATCATTTTTTGCGTGAACTGTAAGATATAAAATTAGCAGTCGATAAGGAAGTGAAGTGCTTGTACAATATAGGAGATAGTGTTCGGAAGGATTAGCTTATTTATAAAGTAAATATATGTATAAAACATATTTATTAATAATTCATTAGAATTTTAGGATAAGGAATGAAATGTTTTCATAGATTTAGGTGGTAGAAAACAAAATATAATTACTGCTCAACTAAACATTAATTCGCTAGAAACGGTTTGGTTGCAATAAGAATAAAACTAGGGTTTTTAAATGATCGTTTACGTAAGCGAATCTAGCGAATTAAAGTGTAGTTGAGCAGTAATTAAAATTTGATTTCTACCACTTAAATCTATGAAAACATTTCGTTCCTCATCCTGGAGCCTGGATGAGTTAATGATCCTCAATATTCCAGCATCGCTAATCTATTTTTAACAGTAATTTACGTGGCAACGTCTATTTAGTGAGTAATAAATCAAAATGTGCAAACATTCCAGACGGTTTTCCACGGTATAGAAATAGTATAAGTAGCATCGTAAGACAAAGCATGTCGAATACGGGTACTTACCTAAGAAAATACAATATTTTTGTCTTCTTAGATTCCTGAAACCTTAAACCAGTTATACAAACTCTAAAAACGAAGGTAAACTCTTCTTATATTAATTAACAAAAGGGTGTAGTATTTTCACAATTCACTAATATCTATACTAATATATAAAGCTGAAGATTTGTTTGTTTATTTGAACGCGCTCATCTTATTTATTTTCGAGGAAGGCTATAAAACATCATCCTGTGACAAAAATTGGGAAAATGATTCATCATTATGGGTTTCCGAGGCGTACGCTGCAAAAACGGTATAAGATAACCAGAAAATTGTATAAGAGAATGATTCTCTAACGGTCTAAAACAAGCCATGTATATATCTTTTAAAATTCGTCGTCGTCGTGAGTAACAGCTTAAGTTTACAAAGGTGAAAACGAATTTGGATGCCCAAAATGACGATTCTCGAGGACGAAGTCGCTGACACTGCTAGTGAAACATATAAATAATACACAAATTAGAGATAAAACGATTAGGAAACATTCATTATCTAGTAAATACGTACCATCGTTAATTCTTAATGAGAGCATATTTAAATGTATTTTCGTATTTATGGTTACTGTATAGAAATTCATATTCTCATAAGCGGTACGTTTTTGTTTGAAATATGCAATAGGGTTTTGCGTCATCGGAATTGAAGTACTTGGACGGAAGTGGACTAAATTTGAATTTATTGCAGAAATAAATCAAATATATTGAAACAGTTAATACTATGTTGCTACAAAATATTTACGAGTTATAGAAACTTCTATTAGTGTACGTTTTTTGGGGTTTTTTCTACTACTCCTGTGGAGTTAAATTATATAAATAAAAGATTACCATTATACCTAAAGTAAATGCAATTTAAGAATTCATGAGTTGCAGTTTGCAATTGATTAATTAAAGTTAGATGCTTGAAATATATTTCATAAATTATAGACTAACGTTTTGCAAGAGGGAGGGATCTAGTTACTCAATATTCAAAAGTCCTAGTCCAGTTCAAACTTTTTTGTATTGTTGTTTATTGTAACCCTGACAAGTAATCTATGTATACTCTACCTTATTTATAGTTTAATAGTGAAAATAATCTTATGGGTACTCACTATTCTAAGTCATTCTGAGGAGACAAATCTAATACTGAACATGAAACAAATACATAAGTTAGAACAAAACTATAAAGACAAGGACTAAAAGTAAAGTTTAAAAATAATTTTTAAAGAGAATTTTACAGTTTGCCAAATTCTTATTCAAAAAAACATTTAAAAAAATGTACCTAGTGTAGGTTACATTTCTACTAAAAATAACATGACACTATTTTCTAAAGGTTCCCCTTAAGTAGGATTAAATTGTATAGTACTGTAAAATCCAATTCAATAAATTGCACAAATAATTCATTACATACAAGTTAGTATGATCTAAATGCCAATTATTTACATGTGTAAAAAACGGACCTTCAAATGAATTTTACTTACAACTTGTACATAATAATACTCAGATTAGACACAAGGCAAATTTATGATCTTTACTAGTATATCAATTGACAGTGGAATATGTTTTTACTGTAATTTATATAGAAGCAATTTTAAATTACCACCTGGTATCATTTTTTTGACATTCTAAAATAACCTGAAGGTCAAATACTGTCTATAGTTAACCTGAAGCTATTTTGTAGACATTTTTTGTAAATAAAAAGTACCTCTAGGAAAACATTCTTGAGTTAGATGGACTACAATAGTATAAAACTTTGTCAGTCTCTATATTGCATGAAATATTGCCTTGCTTATAATTTGAGTACAAAACAAAACTAAGCAAATGAAAAATGAACACACTTCTAACAAGACTGCATCTACTTTTCCACTCACGATGAGATCCTCCTCACGAATCTTCTCTGAATTTTTACTTGCTGCTCTGAATGTTGCAGCAACATATTTCTGTTCTTCTTTTGTGAGCAGAGTGCATTTTGCTGCTAACTTTTTACTTGTGTTGCCCATTCTAGAAAATATTGTTGAAAGGCTTAAGAAAGGTAATAAGAATATTCTGTATGATAAAGCACTAACTATTGGCTGAATAGATGGAAATAAAACTTTTTAAAAAGATTATTATTTAATATTAAATAAATTAAAAATATAAAGATCGATATAGTTACTTAATTTGTTAATTTGAATATTACAATTATTTTTAATTACTTTGTAGTAGTTACTTAGCAGCACCTAATAGATCACTACAACAAGATGGACAATATTAAACTCCTGATTAAACAAATTTCAACAGTATCTTGATTTATTAGAGACTTTCTACAATAATTTAACAAAAGTGACTAATTTGTAGTTTGTTTTAAGTCACGAGTGCAAATTTTCCCTGCAATCATTAGCACATGATTTTTGTCTCATTATCACATATCGGCCTTCAATGAACTTGTTTGACGATCTTGATATTGAAAATTGTGCTAGATAAAATAAAGATCGTATAGATCATGAGACATATAAGCTAATATATTCTCGTAAAAAAAAAACTTTACCTTGGTCTGATTGAATTTTAAAATAATCACAACATATTAATTTTAAACAATTAGAATACTTGGAAAAATGAAATAAATGATAGCACCGAGCACGATTAAAAATTACTTAAATCCATACATTTAATGATAATACACTGCGCGTGAAATAACAATCAAAACAAATACGAAACTTGAAAATCGATGAATGTTAGAATTAATCTATTTGTACAAATAAAAATGACATAACGACATATGTCATAAAATTTAATGATAACGAATAATGTCATTTACCTGTCAAGATAATTTTTTTACCCTTATTTGGGATTGGCTACGTATCTTTTGGGTAGTCCGTATTTTTGAATTTATATGTTTTTGCACAGACCTTTGTGTATAAAAATAAGACATACACAAAGCACTACTGAACTTGTTCGAGTGTTACCGAGAACTAAACAAAAAGAGCAATGTTAAAGAAATAGACCAAAACTATACTGAAAAACGGTACGTTGCTATATTATAATATGTTGCTATCCAATGTTAGAGAAAGCATTTTATAATTTTAAATTATATGCCTTCAATATATTTGTCCACATTTTTTATAATTACAGAGGAATAAATTAGCTAAATAGTTAATTGTTATTTTTCCCAAGTTTAAAAACACTGTACCTTACTAAAATTTTGACCAATCACCTTATAGTGATTGAAACCAATCGAGTTGACAAATTATTGACTAACTACAGATTATAGAATTCCAATAGTTTTGTTAGCTGTCATTGAAACAGTTGAATTATGTAGTTTGAATTGGGTGAAACTGCATTTGTAAATAACATTTTGTATTTTGCAAATAAATGTGCTGTTTTTGATTGATTTTTCCTCCCTGGAGGCTTATTTTTGTGTTTTTACTTGTGGTGTTAGTTTACCGTAGTAATATCGGAGTGGATAAGTTATGGAAGTAGATGGTGATAGTTGGAATACCAACCCAGACGGGACTAAGTTCGCTCATTTAAAAGCTTTCGTGAATGCTGCGAGGGAATTCGAGGCAACGCACAGTGAATCTGCTATCAATTTATTGACTAGATACTTGGGAGTGTGTATTGTTTAATCTCATTCGAGGCATATCTAATAACTTATAAACACGCATTTTACTAAAACCGCATAATTTTATTATTTTATTAAATAAAGACAAATATCGACATAATATGCATTAGTTTTTTTATCATGTGCCGAATTTATCTACAGTTTATAAGTTTTTTTTTAATTATCGAAACATATCACTTTTGTTGTTATGAGATTTAAAAGTACAGCACCAAATTATGATTGAATTTTGAAATTGTCGTAGCTTATAGCATCATCATGTGACCTTTCAATATTTTCACCTGGCCGCTCCGAGGTATGTGCATTCTTCAGTTCACTATGGCGAGTGATGTCAGATAGTAGAGGACCACACTGGGCAGGCGTGGCTGTACTTGTGAGGGCATGTATAGAACCAAGCGCAAGACATGCACTTACTCACACATATAAGTAAGTAATTGCTTATTTGTTTTATAAGCAAAATTCTCTTGGTACCAACTAAGCGAATTGAATTTAAAACATAGACATAAGAATATAAAGAAAGCAATACTAAGTTACTCTTCCTGTCAATTATAGAAATGAATTATTGGTTAGTTCTGGTGTAAAGAAAAGACACACTCAATTGAACTGTAATTATATTAATATAAACTAAGATAATATAAATCTATACTATTTAAGTGTAAATCTATACTATGTAAGTTGTAGAAGGTTCCTTATGAAGTAATGTGGAATTTAAATCATTTTAAAGTCTTTCATTTTTCAGATTTATGCCACTATTGGCTCGTCTCTTATCTGATACTGTATCAAATGAGAAGAAAATTAAATTACTTTCTGTAATGCAGGTTGGTTGGCAAGTTTTTCACTTATCTCATTAAAGAAATTTTAGTATCTCTAAATATGTTTTCTATCTAAGATAGATCAATGCCACATATAATGTATATGCAATTTGAAATAACTGAGATTTTTTTGCAATAATTACAAACTAGTTAAACTATCTAAGCTTGTTTTCTAAAAAAATATCAGTAATAATTATAATAATATCCTATGTAATCAAAAATAAATAATATATCACATTGAATATTTAAGTGATAAACATTATCTCTTGTAGGTTTAAATATAAACTATATACAAGCTAATATACTACATTTTTATTTAAGGACATTTCATATGGAATAAAAATAAGTTGGCAAGAATCATACTTAGCTGAGCTTATGAAAACTCTTACAAACTGGATAGTTCAACCAATGTTGGAGCCCCAACAAAGGACTATAGGACACAAATCTCTGACAGTGTTGATAAATGTATGCTATGGGAACCTACCAGCGATATATGCTTTGATGAGGACAGTGGATACAAAGGAATTTGTGGTCCATTTAATAAGTTTAAAGGTAATATCAATTTTATTGTACACAGACCGGTAACACAATTGTTAAAAGGTTTTAAATACATTTTTCTTTTCTGTAATTTTTTGATTTAAATAAAGTTATTCAGTAGTTTATTTTTTTTCAAAAACTTTCGTAAATGTTAACATTAGACCATAAGTTTCAGCAATTTTATATCAATTATATGTTTATCTGCTTGGACTTACTAAAATAGACTGAAAAATGCCATTTCTAGAAGTGTGTAAGGTTCTAATATCCAAATTCTCATAACAGATTATACATCTGTTAACATATGACGTTATAGTAGATCTCTAATAAATCGGGTGAGCCAGTGGGTTCCTAGAGTTGTATTATATACTTATATACATTTCATTTTGTACTATGTATATTTTAATATTTAATGATTCCAGGAAGGTGGGTATGGTGGTGTTGAAGTTTGCAGACTCTTGCTATGCTTATCAAGTGCAACCCGTGGTGGTTCCAACACCAGGCAACCAGATGTTCACAGTTATCTTTGCTGTACTATGAGAACATTCAATAAGGCAGTTGTGTATGTATATTATTTGTTCAAAGTGCTAACCATAAAAATGTTTTTACTCCTACTAAATAATTTCTTCAGAGAATTTTCTTAATTCTGGGAACTCGGGAAGATTTAGTTAGACTAAGCTTTAATATATTAAAAATATATAAATTTTTTTCGAAAGGTGCCATTGAAAGCACTTGCATTAACAAATATAATCATCCTTGGGACATTTTTTGTTTAGTCAGTAAGGGAATAAGAACTATTGTTTTAGAGAACGCGACGAAACGCAGTTACTCCATGCATACACGTTCATCAACGATCTCTGTACGGACGAGAATCTTCGTAATTACGTACTCACGTATCCACACTTTAGTAATTCACTTAAGGATGCCATAAAGGTAGGCTACTTTATTTACAATTAACTATTATAAAAGATAAAATTAAACATCTATGCATGTTTAAGAATATTGTAAACTTGTTATATGTTCAATTTTATGTATTTCTATGTTTAATTTTAGGAGTAATATGTATATACTGTCTATAGTTTACGCAAGTAGTAGACATTTAAATAAAACACTTAAACGGTTTAAAACGTAATATATCGAGTTTTAAACCGTTAGTGTTTTATTTAAAAGTAATATTAATTTTTTTCCATTAAGCTGTACATTCAGTAATTAATATAGTATTTATTTTATTTACAGGATGTAGATGCTCTATGTGCAGTGGCGCCTGGCGACATATGTGAACCGGAGAGTACAGCTGGATGTCTTCGAAATGTCCTAAAGTTTCTTACTGTTTTAGTCAATTTAGGTATACCGGTCCTTAATTTAATTTTTTGTTTAAAAAAAATTACTTTTTTGGCATGATATTCCTTAACGTTGTCGGAACTAAATAGATTTCTATCAAATACTTTTTTAGTTTACGCGAGTTGTATACATTTAAACCGTTAAAGTGTTTTATTTAGATTTCTATTGCTAAGCATTTAAAAGTCTTCAAGCATTATATCAAAAAGTTACTAGCGGTTAAAACAATCGTGTGCGGACTAAATAAAAAATAAAGTGTTACTTAATGTATTTAAAATAACGTCCACTTGCTTTCCTGGGCTTTTCTATTCATTTTTTTTTTTGTTAATGTAAAATACTTCACCTATTTCCCCATTTTGTTTCTACCACATGTGTCCCCGATAGAAAATAATAATAATGTAAAATATTTTCTTTACAGATTTATACTCGATGCGGTGCCATCACAACGAACTGGTGTGTCTATGCATGAAGGCGACCCGTATCTGTCTGCCGGAGACTTTGAATTTGTTTGCAGCTATCGTGACACAATATACAGGTACATTTTGTTTACATTCGGTCTAATAACGGCAACAAGTCAAGCAAAACATTTCAGCAATTTTTAGAATGTTGTATATGTAGTTGACGCACGGCACTCATAATTTCAAGCTGCCGTAACCACAGGCTGCGGAAACTAGGTTTTCTAAAGGCGGTTGATTTTGTCTAGAAAATCTGGTGGTACCGACCACCGCGCACCATAATCCAACGCGTGAAAAAGCCTTTAATTTTTTTAATTTTAGTAGTTAAAATGATATTGATTTCATGCTTTATGGCTGGGGTTAATTCACCTTCTATGAAGTTAATCCAATGCTTGACTGTCAGACATCTTTTTATTTGTATATTAAAGTTAAGCTTTCCAGATATAATTAATGTTGATTTAAGAAAATAGAAATATTCTAATATGTAGTAAAAGCAGCCTTCATCTATAAAGATTTTTATGTTTTCCAGAGGAGGGTAGATTACCACAAGAACTGATATCCGTAATAAGCGATGGACTACCCGCATTACTTGTTCCGCCTTCTTTGGAACCAGGCAAAGCTGGTTTACAATGGGTAAGCATTTATTCTACAACTGTTCATAAATTAGCATTTGCTTTTCAACCTAATTTGTAAATTATAGTTGTGATGAGGACTAGATTTTTTAGTTTCATCATTTCAATCATTAAAATTCCGACACAAGGCGACTAAATTTCCATTGCACATAAGGCGAGTTATAATAAAATCGAAAAATTGAAAAATTTTTTTTTTTTTCGCAACTTCCTTATACGCAAGTGTTAAGGTAGAAATTTCTTTTCCCGCCAGAGAGTGCATTGTAATAAGTTGAAAAAATTCACTATGAGTGTAGGACTCGGTAGCTCATTGGTAAGCAACAGCACGGAAAGCTGACGATGCCGGTTCAAGACCCCCCCCCGGCGAAAAAATTTTTTATTTTTTTATTTTGGTTTTTAAAATACAAGGCGACTATTTACCCCCGGGTTATTTGTATGTCCAAACTATGGAACTTTTGGTGTTTTAATAAATAAGTTAATTTCATAAGTATAGTACCTTCTGTCCTTTTCGCACATGTCTTTTGTCTTGTTCTAACAACGTCCTTTGAGAAAACGAATTGATACCAGAATTCGCTGCTAATCTCTTACAGTTACAAGTTGTAGGGGCGCTGTGTGAGTCAACTGAAACACAGGAACGGGTCTTGCAAGAAGTCACACCCGACTCATTTGAGGACACTCTGTATGGGGTTCTACAATATACATCACAGGTTGTATACTCTTTACTAATTTATTATTAATTAATTAATTAATTATATACCAACATATATTTCTGGCCGCACATGTTACTAATAAATATTTTTTTTAATAAGTTATATATCTTATAGCTTAATTTGGCGGTAGGAGTATCAAATTTTCTCTGGTTCGCGCACCAACGTCCACAGAAGAAATAGCCATACCGTTTTATTGCGGTTTTGGTTATCCGAATGTCCCAAACTAATATAGGTCCGCTGTGCGTCGTGTTTAGATATTATATAGTTGTGGTATTTCCCCCGCGATCATCAAATGAACCCCAACTATCTTGGCTTAATAAAAATATATTAAATGTCATTTCTCATACTGAGTATTGATGATTTACAGAACGGACCCGTTGGCAGCGAAGCGTCGCAGCAAGCAGTCATAGTGTCGTGTAGGACTGGCTTGAGCCTAGCGCCCCTCGATAGGAACTGGGAAGCTGCTCTGAATAGAATGTTGGCACATCATCAGGTTATTTATTAATTTATAGTAAGCATTAATTATGCTACCGCCTCTGAAGCCAAATGATTAAGAGAGAGGTCCTAGGTTCGAATCCCGGTGAAACAGTTAATTGTTTCGGTCAGGCAGGACATAGAAGGATAAACAAATACTTGCCCGTAAAAGAAGCGATCAGGATCTCGAAAAGGTGGCCCATGCCCCACGGGGATGTTATTTTTTAAATTTAATTATGCGAAATGCACTATAACTGTATTTGTTGTCTCTGTTATATCTTCAGGTGCGAAAATTGTTATGTACGGGTCTTTCCAGCAGCAACCCGTCCCGCAGACGACAAATACTACAGCTTATAAAACATCACTACTTTCCATCAGATCAAATGAATCAGGTAATCTGTATAAATATAATGCTAGAGTGATAGATTAATAAACACTTTAATAAAATAAATAAAGGTTTATCCGTTCCGAAGCCATTATAAGTCGACTGCACATCTTGTTTAGATGTTATGTGGCTGGCGCATTTCCACCATCAAATGAAGCTCACGTTTGTCTGTTTTCCTTTATATTAAATAAAATATCGTTAATAGCGAAGTGTGTGAATGGTTAACATTCAATTTCAAAGGCGGCCAAAGAATTTTATGTTCAAAATTATAATTTTAGGTGTTCGGTGAAAATATAAGCGGCGCTAACGACGTAAGTGTCGAGAGTCTCTCGCCACGCGTAGACATCGAAGCCGAGACCATAACACTGACGCCATCCCAGCAGACAGCTGTCGATGAGCTTGTAAATAAGTTGAACGTCGCAATGGACTCTGGAAAGGTAAGCTTAGAGAAATCTGTTTATTATTTAACTAATCGTCTCCCCGTGACCACGACTGCTGCAAGGCATCTCAAACGTCAGGCCGTAGTCAAATTAAAATTGTAATAAGTTTCGTGTTTTAAATCGTCAATTGGCCAAATTTTATCTAGGACAACCTCAAACGGCAAGTATTTTATAGTTAGAACATCTATACTAATATATAAAGCTGAAGAGTTTGCTTTGTTTGTTTGAACGCGCTAATCTCGGGAACTATCGTCTTGAATCGAAAAAATATTTTTGCATTGGTTAGGTTAAAAATTTAAAATCAGATTTTCTCCTCGTCCTCACGAATTACGTTTTTATTATAGTGACGTCCTTTCTCCCCCGTGGGACAGATATCTGTGTCCGTTTCGCTGGTCATTTCATGTACAGACAAGTAGTTGTTCAGCCTTCTATTCCCTTTTAGAAACAATTTATTGTTTCCCCGGGATTCGAACCTAGGACCTCTCGCGATTAACGCAATGCTGGGCAGCTAAATATGACTAATAACACACTTGAGTAAATATTTAAGGCGCTTATCGACATACATGATTGTTTTTTTATCTTTTTGTATCTTTTCAGATATCGGATATAGCGACATCTAGTGTCATGGAGCTGTATGGGTATAAGATAACATGCCTCGAACAGCGGTTGCATTCGCATTCTGTTGCCTTACAGGTAATTTTAACATTTATCAAACCATGACAATAAATGTGTATATGTATGTCTTTACTAGCACACTAGGTGAATTATTTTGGGGTAGTTTATTTTAATCATAATTAATGCTTCGACATAGTTTAATTGTTCTAATTATTTATTTATTACAATTGTTTTAAATATTAACAGGGTGCCACAGACCACATGGCGTCACTTCAACATGCGCTTGCGTTGCTTCAAGCGACGAATAGTTCGCAACAGGACGTTTTGTACACGACACAAATGCAGGCAGAAAGGTAGGAACAAAAACATCTAAGTTAACTTACATATTCATGTAACTTTATGTAAAGCATAACCCTGGCTTCCTATAATTTAAAAGGAGCCTGGATCAGACAAAATCTGTGTATGTTTTACTGATCAATAAAAGAAAAACAAATTTCTGTGTAGTATACGACTTTCGTTCTTAACGAAACATTAAAGTCACCAATGTTAAAAAATTGCTGATATAAACTTTAGTATTTACGATTTATCATATTTAATATAGTATTTTAGGTCAAAACAAGATAATATAAAGCAATTTCCGTTTAAAAGTCAAGAGCATCGGTGGTTCAGTGGTAGAATGCTCGCCTGCCACGCGGGCGGCCCGGGTTCGATTCCCGGCCGATGCATGTCTTTTTATTTTGTTTTTTGTTAGTTCTTTTCGTTTTTGTTTCTGAATTTACTATTATTTTCATTATCTACAAACAATATAAAATTATATGTATTTATAATTTTATTTACGTACTTTGAGTTCTGTACAACACTAAACTTATGGCAGGCATAAAAAGACGATAGAAGAACTTCATAAACAGTTGGAAGATGCAGAGACCACATTAAGGGGTTTTAGAGCCAAGTTAGCAGCGGAGAGGCTTGACAAGGAACACCAGAAGGAACACTTGCAACAGGAATTCAAACAACAGCTTGCCGTAAGCATTGGTTTCATTTATACAAATAACTAAATTTTTAGCAGTCTAAGTGTAGAAATGTTTGACATTTCTATGTTTGTTGCAGTAATCGATATCTTTTGCAAGAAGGTGTTTGATCTTTGTGCCTTATCGTACTCGGGCTATATTTAATCTATCCAACATATAAATGTTTGCAATTAAGTGTATATTAATTTTTATACAAAAATCCACGTACAGCTTTTTAGCTCATGAGCTATAAAAACTAAGGAGCTATCCAAAAAAGCCGTAAACGCCTTGTAAAATATATAATTTTTTTATTTATTTATTTTGTACACAAAATCATTTTTTTTAAATCGTTATAAAGTTTTTTTTATTCATTACTCGAAATATATAGACACTAATATTATCTAAAATGAACTTAAAAATAAACAACTTTTACCAGATTACTGATACAACTTATGCTTTATTTTCTGTATATTTTTCCAGAATTACGAGAGTGACATGAAAGTGCGAGAACGCGAGGCTGAGGAGAGGATTAAGCGGGCAGAGAACGAATATAAGGCACTACAGAAGAAATTAGATCAGCAGGTAACTAATTTTGAAGCATTTATGTGCACTTATAAACCTATATTTATTCATTTTTCTTTATGATTTCGTTATAGATCATTGAAAAATTTCATCATATTCAAATTCGGAATCATTTTCAGATGAATAAAAACAGTGAATTGGCCGGTGTCTTGATAAAGTTCGAGGAAAGGGTAAAACAACGTGATAAGAAGTTGGAAGAGGCGGCCTCCGCTGAAGCCGCCTTACGAAGAGAGATAGAGCAGCGGGATAACGTAAGTCTAATGATTTCTTCGTCATCGACGAGGTTCTCTATATATATATTCTAGCTCTTAAGAGTGTGTCTTAATACAGTATACTTTTCTTACGTGTGTTGCCAGATCATGCCATCTAAAAATTGTTTTTAAGGAAATGTTGAATTTCCTTACTATGTTTGCTCTAGGTAGTGGAAATTTTATTACTTTTTTTAGTTATACATATTGCTTTTTTAATTTAATTAATACCCACAAACCCCTTTATGCTTACAAATAACACGGGGAAATAATGGTCCAAATTTTATAATATGCTTTGTTTTCATGGTATAGATGATAAAGCAACTAGAGAAGACTGTGGTAGAGCGAGAGAATAGATTGTACCAAGTGACTACGCAGCTGGAGGAGATGAAGCGTGTGCAAGAGATGGTCGCCAAGCTTATGACGAAGAGCACATCCAACGTTTCCACGTACGTACCTAATACCAGAGTATCTTTTCAACATTTAATTAAGTTTAATTAAGCGTTCAATTTTATATTAAATCACAAAGCTACTGTTTTAATAAAGAAAATCTCTTTTCAGGTAACGAAGCATAATGAGGGGGAGATCTCATTCAACAATAGGAATATATTTTTATACTTATACAAATAATGCCAACACTTTTGTGACAAATTATAATAAATAAATGAAATATAAAATATGTTTATTGCCTCTCTCTTAATAATAAAATTACAACTGCTATTGAGGCTATTCCAGTTAGTTTATACTTATATGGCTAACTTAATGCGGGTATCCTTATATTTTGGTAAATCCCAAATGTTTAGTTTGCATCTTTTTCTTACGTTGTATGATTTAACTCCTGTAAAATGTCCGTTAAAAGAATTGACGAGCCAAGTTCAACTATAATGGGGGTAATGCTAGCATCTGCCTGCCCTGACGTCGGTGTATATCCTTAATACTCCTATTCAACTCATGTTAAAAGTTTTCACGAATCACTTTACTGGATAATGGATTCATTATTTCTCTTGGGACGTTTTTTTATCTCTAATATCTACTCCTACCCACTCCCTCCTTATAGTTTACGTACTCTTGCTCTGTTTGCTTTAACTCTAATTCTTAAGTTTATAACTATAATCTTTATCTGGCTTAGCTGTCCAACTGCGCTGATGGACGATTCTATTTTATTTATTGTTAGTATGCTGCATCTCCTTTAGGTTAGATGAGATGGCTTTGAGTTCCTATTTGTTCACTGCTTTTTACATACAACAACAAGTTTTTTTATAGACTCCTTGTATTGGCTAAATTCAGACAGCAAGTTTTCCTCTCTAACCCTTTTATTTCCGATAAGAAGTAAAATTAGGGGGGGTGTACGTGCACCACAAGTTACAATTTCCCTCAGATAGAGATTTAAAATTCTAGTTTATATTCGCCATAGTACTAGGAGCATATAAACAATAGAGAGTAAATTCTGTGTCACCAAGATGTCAACAGGTCTTTAGTGAGGGGGCGTTACCAACGGTTTACTTCCACTAATGGGGGGTTGGAGCTTTGTGTAACCATCTTCAAGATCTCCATCGATTGGAAAGAAACAATGTGGGTAGTTACCAGAGTTAGCCGAAGTAGCTGCGCGGACGCGATATGCTACGGATGTATGTACAATGTCTAGCGAAGATGTCACACGCATAAACGAATAGCACTTGCAAGCTTGTGCGACACTAGTATATTCTCTCAATTTATTTGAATTTCATGTGGTTTATGGACACGTGTGTGCACCTTATAGCCTGGTCTCTGGAGGAAGAGCAACTTGAATGAACTGTATGACGAAAAATACTTAGCAATTTTATAAACACAAACAAATTAAGAAGCTTACCCACTTTCTTAGATACTAACTACACACAGCTACACTACTCTTACTACATTAATGTTAGCCGCAACTTTATGTAATAGGTATATTTGGGAAAAAATCCTGTTATCACTGTAATACTTTTTTGAAAAGCCAACGAGTAAATAATGTATCCACATTTTTGTGATCAAGTACTTCATTAAGCAAGCTCAGGCTTATATTACATTTATTAGTAGACATTATATTTTATATTAATCTATTATTATAAATTATATGAATGAATGAAAAATGACAAGTACTTTGTTTTAATATAAGCGAAAACAATACATAATTAAGAAAGATGTTAAATTTCTAGCTATAAAGGATCTCGAGTTTGCCGGGTAACTGGTAAAAACAAAGACGAAATTTTTCCAATGTTTATTGAAAGTTTACATTACGATAGAATAATATAACTCCATGAAAATATGAATGAAGTGACAACAGTAGGTAAATAAAATTTGAAGCGATAACAATCGATTGTATAGTTAAGTACACTAATAATATAACAAGAGTGTTTTTTGATTATATAATCTAAAATGTCAACGGAATAAATAAACCTTAAAGAAACTTACTAATTGATAATGTTATATTTGCATTTCGATGTTATTTGATTTCTTTCTTTTCTTTTGGTCTTTTAGAAATGCCTCTACAATTTAAGATATAAGAAACAAATAGTATTTAATTTGGTATGTTGTTTTTGAGAGATGTGGACAACCGAGAGTGGAGTGTACTTGAAGAAAGGTAAGACACCCCGACCATATAACATTAAAACAAGATCGTCGAACTAGTTTACTAAGAGCCGAAATCTATTATTTGCGGTCATGTTATACTTTAACATATTTCAAATAACAAATTATTGAAGACTTGTTTAAGCAATTAACTCTTGAAGACTTCGAGACTTATCACGAGAGTGTACTAGAATCTAAAATTTCTCTAACAATACTGAATGGAGGAAATTTAGGTTCACTCATTTTATCTAAAAGACAGACATAAGAAGGCAATTAATCACAATTCATGTGCGCTTATTAATAATAATCTTAATTAATTACTAATCTATTCGAAAATTAATTTATGGTGTTATTGTGTAGTGGAAATTATTACATAGAATACTTCAAATATTAATTTGTATTTACAATGTAAAATTGAGTGTGTTTAAAAATGGTTGGGGATAATACTTCATAACCCAAATTAACGCATAATAAAGAACTTATCTATATAAAACATCTTTTGGCACTTAGGTTCTAAATGATGCACTTGCGAATATTTTACAACAGGTAAAAATGATTACCGTGTCAAAGTATTACAATTGATGATGTACCAGATGAACTCGAACAAACACCCATAGAGTTATGTGCTGTTGCTCTTATCTAATGCTGTTGCTTATCTATTGGTGATAGTGGATGCGAGTTCGACTCGCGGCTGTGTCATCTATTTCTTTCAATCTAACTAATTTTTTAAGACTTTATAAAGTTATCGTGTGCATGTAGAAATAATAAAATTCAAATGTTAAAATATATACACATATCGCTCGCTTAAATATTTGTTTTCATTATAGTTAAACTATATTTTAAGAATTTTACAAAAAATATAATATTATGTACCTATTATTTAATACACAACTTATTTATTAAAAGATTTGTAAACTATTGTATAGTATGTATTACATATTTCGTAAAATAACGTGTTTAATTTATAATAAAGCATTAGTTGTTATTCATATATTTTTTTAAAGTTTATTGAAATGTTAATATATAACTATAATTATAGTTAATATAAATATTTTAGTTAAAAATACTGGGATAAAGTAACTGTAATTAATAATTATGCTAATTGCTTTTTTAATAAACGTGAATTAGATTTTTAATTTACAATTGCATGTTAATGTAAAATGTGTTGATGGAAGAATGATTTACTATTCTGTCACGGGGAGTTAGAACAGCAGACCAGCTTTTGGTGGAATGTGAAATATCCCAGACCTTCATGTGTAAAATTCGGAATCCTGATTGAAACTAAAACGGGGATTTTGAAATGCTCACCATCCGCTTAACGTCCCGGTTCTTTGAGTTGGGTCAAAAATAACGTTTGCCCGGTCAGCTAGTCCCTAATATTAAACATGAAGGTAGCGTTCAGCGTATTCCAAAACCTCGTGACCGTATAGTCCCTCTAAGACCTATTTATTGCTATTCGCCTCTTAGAATATTTAAACTCGTCTAGAATTATTAAAGCACTATAAGTTCTAGTTAAAATTCACTAATTAGTCAAAAACTTTAAGATATTTTAAATCACTATTGGTCGTCACTAATATTAAATTTATCTACAATTCAATAACTTTTAATAATGCCGCATTGGATGCTATCCATAAATTCCGCTAAACGTTAGAGGGGGTCAACGAGATGTGACATTATGAGACTAAGTTGGGTTTTTATTTTGTGACGTAACAATACGACACGACGAATTTGTGAAATGTATATGACGTCACGTCATGATAGTGGCCCTAGCTACGTCAAAAATCGTAACGCACTTAACGTAACGAAATTCATGGATCGCACCTAACAATGAATTTTATTCAAACTACGAACAGAACATTTGAGCAATACATAGTTACTTATTCTGCTCATCACAAGTGTCTACAATTGACGTTGCGCTACATCTTACAACCATGCGAAGAAAATAAAAATAGACTAAGTTGGCTAAAATGTAGTAGCACTATGTTCTTTCATAGTCGCGCCTGTTTATATTTTGATCGCATACACACGTTTCAAATTAAATCCTACATAAGGATAAACATTTTGAGTTTTCGTTCAACATATTTTATGGCGTTCGAATCTAGCATTTAAAACCATACACAAGGTTTTATTTAACAACCGATTCGTTTAAAAAACATTAATTAGTAATTCGTAGACGCACACTCGTAGCACTTTATACTACATCTTTAAAAGCCTTTAATCGCGTCCTAAGCACTCGTAAAGACACTCTCAAACCTACAATAGTCGATAGCAAAACATTATGGAATAAATTCACGTTATATTTTTGAGCTGCTATTTCTACATAACTAAGGCTTTTTTATACTGCGCTATTATACCGAGTAACATGATCTATACGTGGCAGACATATTACTGTATCTTTCACTGATTAATGTGCAGGCAATTAGTTAAACAAAATTTTTTGCCGTTACCAATCGAAACGTTATCTCGAGTTGATCATTGCGTTGTTGTATGATAGCGTAGTGTAAAAAGCGCGTATAGTCAAGTCTACGGAGTGTGGAAATGGAAAAAATATTTATATCCAAAATACTGTACTAGGTTTCAAATCACACCCTTTTCTTTTAACCGTCCGACCTTATCTACAAATTTCAAAGACAGACTATCTACTTGAAGTTATACCTACAATTTTACAAGAACGCATATTTTTTTATAAATTAATACTGTTTTGTTTTGTCGTGCATTATTATTTGGTATAAGTCTGTTCTGACGAGTTTCAACTATCAAAATAATTTTCGGGAGCACAACTTTGAGCTTTAAAAACGGTCGTTTTTAATAGCACTCCAACGTTGTTAAACAGATTCACATAAATTTTAACTAGTAAGATAATTACTTGAATTTACATCCATTATTTTTGGTCCATAAATGTCTATTGATTTTTAAATGTTTGATTTATTTTGCGTAGACACGATATAAACTTTAAAAATTTCAACTAAAATGAAGTAAAAGAGGCTACCGTTTCTTTACTCAAGCATTTTTCTAAAAGAAGAGCCTAAAAAAAAGAGTCAGTAATAATAAAAATGGTTACATAAGATATTTAAAATATATACTGCCTTATTAATTATTACTTCCCTTTTGGGTTTCTTTTGCAAAGAAGTGGGGAATTTTATAGATATATTTCTTTTTTTTAGCGAAATCCTTGTTTAATTTCGTTTTCACCAGGGAATAAGAAAGTCTTTGAAAGTCACAAAGTTCAGTATACACGAGGATATGGAAACGATTGTACTACAGGTTTTCAAATAACACGAAGTCTTCCTTTTTGAGGTTACCTGGAAGGAAAATAGTAAGCTCAAATACTGCTCTGTTTACATAGACTATTTATGAGGATTATGTAATACAGAAATTTGTATTTATATTATTATGAGAAATGCCTTCAGAAAGGCCCCCCTTATCTTACCAAGAGTACAGCTCCTCCTCGCCCCACGTTCCTCAGTCAAGGTTTCCACCATTTCGTAGACCTGCCTTCGTCTCTGGGGGAACTTGCTTTCTGAAGCATTCGTCGAGAAATGTGGACATAGTTCGGTACAAGTGTCGCTTGACGCCTTCTAGTGTGTGACCTTCATCTGGATAGATCTAAAACATTTTTTGAGTAAAATGGCGTATTCGTTTGTTTTTTTTTACGAATAGACACAATTTTTTGAGTCACAAACAATACCTGACGTTTGTAGTCAGGTCACTTGTATAAAGATTAAAATGTTTTACCTGCTGCCTGAACATAGAACCCTGGTCCGATAACGCTCGCGCCAGTGCCATGGTCTGCTGAATATGCACGTTATCATCAGCAGTTCCGTGGACCAGCAAGAGCATTTTGTCACGAAGAGCCAACGCCTGCTTCGTTACGTCAGCGTCTGCGTAACCTCTATAGTTACCCGTTGCGTTTGGGAAACCCATATAGCGTTCCGCATAAGCTGATGCTGTAAAAATATAAATATGAGGTAGTCAATTGATCCCCAGCAACATAATATGAAGCCTCTTGAGGCAGAGTAGCCTAACTGCAATTTTATGACCTGACTTATTAATATTTTTATAATCTAAAAATGTTTATCTACCAAAGCAGAGTTACTGAAAATTGTTACTTACACAAATAATAGTGAAAAATCATTTTCGCCTAAGTTAATTACCCATTTTTATTTTCCTTCTTATTGAAAGTCATGATTTTTCTTATTAGGCCACTCTACTTCTAGCAGCCTCATATATGGATGGCACAAGTACTGGGTAGCCGAAGTTAGATATTTAGACGGTGTTTTTCTCACCATAGTAACGCCAACGTACAATTGGCGTAATCGCGATAGCGCAGTGGAAGACATTTAGTGAGCTGGCGAGGGCTAGCGTAGCCAAGAACCCACCATGGGCTTCTCCCCACACTGCTACGCGTCGTGCATCTACGAAATGTAGAGATTCACGAAGATACCTGATGATATATACAAAAGTTGGATCAAGTATCCGTTTCCATGATAAACATATTATTCGTTGTATTTTCTTTTAATTTAATTTGAGTTTGGTTAAATCTAGGCCTGATTCTTAATTACTTCACTTTAGTATTACGAGTTTGTAAAATGAATCCATCCTTCATCCTACATTTTCAAAATACTATGTTTCTATAAAGCACATATACTTACTCAGATACTTCTAACTGGTCAGCCAGCTCAACAGTTCCCAGTCGCTTATGTAACGCGTGATGAGCTGCCAAGCCCCTTCCACCAGCCCCTCGCGCATCTACCATGGCCAGGATCGCGCCGCCACTTGATGCTAACGAGCCCCAATCTAATGCCCATTTCTCCGTGACTAGCTGCGTCCCTGGTACTCCATGCCTGGAAATATTCTAAATTTAGTCGATTATAGCCTGTGCTGTGTGTACTTACTCAATTAGTAGATTAATGAAACCATCAATACACGACTTTTAAAATGTATGTATTCATTATATATTTTTTAAACATTCTCAAATTTGTGTTTAAATTTAAATAGTGAAATATTATCTATCATGTTTAAAATTTTTAAATAAAACATTACACCTTAACGGTTTAAAACGTGATTTATATTAGTAAAACTTATTTGAAAATTATTTTATATAAAACAGACACGGGGTGACCACGGCTGCTCCAAAGCGTCTGGAACGTCGGGCAGTAGTTAAAATCATTTTCATATAGTTTAACAAAAAAAATTATTAAATAGTTTATTTATGTGTACTATAAACAGCGTAAACTGTAGGCACTTTGTTTAAAATGCTTAGTAAAGTAGTGATTACTTACACTTTTAGTACTAAGGGGTACTTTGTGACCTCATCTTCCCTCAACCCTGGGGGTAGTAATAACCGGACACGCGCAGCATTACCACTCGATAATTGGACGGAAAATGTCCTTGGTGTTGGCAATGCGATACCGGACAGTCTTTCCTATAATCAAATAAATAATAATTATTAATAAGTGTTTATTATAGTGTTTATTTTATTTTAACTTTGTGCGGTATTTCAATGTGTGTGTGTTTAACGAACGGAACAAATTTTAATTACAAAAATATGGTTTAAAATAACACTTACAATTAGAAGTAAATTAATTAAATTATATTTTAGGTGACTTTTGGGTAATAATGTGTTGACATCAAAGTCTACGCTGGTTAAAAGTGGTTTTATTAGAAATGTATACTACAGTAGAACCCGTTTAATACGCTTACGATTCGTCATCCCGTTTAATACGCTCATTTACTGTATACTTTTAAATAACAGGCACTGCTGAAAGTAGTTAATAAATATACCTTAACAGCAGTATTATTCTCTAGATGCATGACCAGTCTAGGCTCTGGAAGGGCAGTTTTGTGGAGGCTGGAAGTAGGAACACCTGGACCGAGGCATTCCAGTACGAAATACGCTGATGATGGACTGAAGTGGGCATCGTGGTACAGGCACGGTAGGTTTCGGGGAATACCCTCTGCTGAAAAAGAAAAAGTACGTACAAAATATTATTAGTATTTTTAGTATTACAGCTTTAGAAGCTTATACATTTTTTCTTTTATATAGCAGTATTTTTCAAGAAAATAAAAAAAATAAATACGCGTGTTTTTGACCCCTGACCAACAACCCAGTGTGCCAAATGCGCTTTAAAGTCGGTAACATAAAAAAAAACAGTTTTAAAAGCAAGTTTTTAAGTTAGAACAAAGAAGGGAGTGTGTATGGAAAATCCTTACTAGGTACTTTCTTCTTCTTCTTCTTGCTAGGAGTAGGCGAAGTGGGAAGCTCCTCGTCCGATTCGCTATCCCAAGAGCTGTATAAATAGGATGCTAGATTTCCGTAATAATCCAGATTAATTGATGGTAGCGGCTGTGAAGAAATAAAATATCTTTTTAAATAAAAAACATAACTTTATAATAGGTCTTAAAAATACAACTATTAGGGAAAAAATATTTTTATTATTATGATCCAAGTGCCGCCTTATAGCTTTAGAGCGAACACTTCCAGGCAACCTTTACCCTGTTATTTGTATGAAAACTTATTGTATAGAAAATATATTTGATATTCTTACATGTGATATGCAAGTGACACAATAAGGCAACTTATGTGGAGTTCCCGGCCGTGGTGGCTCTGATGATACCCGATACAGGTGCTGTTGTCCAGGCTTGCCTTCCGGGATCCCAAGGTAATATCTATAAAAAATTTTATTGTTTATAAAATACATAAATTCAATCAGGTATGATTTTATCACATATAGCTTAAGCATCTTCTTTAGAATGACACGAATAGAACTTAATTATTGAATAAAACTCAAATAAAATCTCAAAGCTGCATGAAAAACATTATATTATGGTGGTATGATCACTTTTTATGATAAAAAACTACAGACCATTGGTTAGGTCAGAATATTCTATAGATTTTTCGTAATTTTATCGATCTCTACAAATACGCCGCTCGACATATTGAAAACGTGTATGTTTGTTTCAGTCAAATTAATATAGACCCTTTCCAATAAGATGGGCCAATATTTAAATGTAGGAAAGACCACTGTAGAACCCTTTGTTTACAGTATTCCGTTCCTGAACAAACATCCTTTTCATAGTGATATTTTGTTTGGTTTGGATAGAAAAATATTGTTGATCAGACTTTTTGCCTGTCCGACTAAAACATCTGTTGTTTGTTCGGAATTCGAACTCAGGACTTCTAGCGCAATGCTAGACAAATTTAACCATTTAACTACAGACGGTCAATAATATTAATAAAATTTATATTTTAATTGAAAAATATTATAGTACCATTGGGGATGTGTGTTCAGATCTTGATGTGCATGTTGAATTTTTAAATATTTAATATTACGCCAATATCTTGTCATGTATGGAGTTTATTTTGTTTTTTTATTATTCGCAGAATTCTCTAATACCTGATTCCAAATTCGAAACAAATTCTTAACTCACACATGCTGATTAACATGATCCCAGGCTAAGAGCCGGACAACATCAAAGCTACCATGGGTGAGAGGTAGCGCTCTGGGTCCATGGGAGTTATGCTCCGATCTCACCACGTGACGGAAAAGACCAGCGGGGCCATCTCGCACTGGAGCTAATGTGACTAAGGCACCACCTCCAGCGGACCAAAGTGGCGTGGGCGCTGATTCCACCCAGCTTTCAGAACCAGAGGTTATCCTGTATACCTAGCGATTAAACAATTATTGTATTTAGGTAAGATTCACAACTGTATAGTTTTTATAAATAGTTATTATTTTTTAGAATTTCTGTCTTATATATATTTTAATCTTTTAGTGTTTTTCTTTTCTGCTTTCTTTTAATTAACTATGTATCTATTAATTCTATTTAAGGACAAACTTTATTATCATTTGTTCTTCTCATATTTATATGTTTGTCATATCAAAATCAAATCAAATGACATTTTTAAAAATGTATTATTAAAAAAGTAGAGAGCTTAACCAATCTTCGGTATGTATCAACAATGAAAAATTACAAACTTTCATCCTTTAGCTTCGGGTTTTATTTTCGGTAGAGGTTCAAAATTAAATTTAGAAAATCTAACTAATAGAAGGTAAATATTATTAGGTTTAGTAAAATAGCCCATCACCTAAGAATGAGTACCAGACACTCGATAAAAACTTGTTAATTCAAAATGGCTTAGTACTCAGCCATAGCATGGTTATACATACATATTTTGCCTAAAGTCAGTTTTGGGTTCTTACCTCTTGACAATACCACATCGGACTCTTGCAGATGGACACCACAGAGAGGTTTTGGAGCCTCGTCAACCACACCACACAAACCTCCGTGAGTGAGACCCACTGCGCGCTCGTAATGTAGTAGTCACTGAAAAGAAATGTTACACATATGTGCTTATTAAAAATATATCTTATTATATATATTGTATCTTATATATATATATATAGTGCTTTTCATAGTGTCCATTGAAGCCATGGAGTTTGAGATTTTGTTTCCCATACCTGAGGAATTAAGATTTTTGACAGTTTTTTTATGAGCAGGTAGTTGATCAGATTTGTGGTTGATGCTGTATCGAAATATTTACCAACATTCGAACGCAAGATATCTTGTACTTAACGCAACGCTTCTATGTATAAACAATTATGTCTGTGCTTATCGTCACGTTTAATTTTTTAAAATAAAATAATATAACTTATTGATGATTTAATACATAAAAAACATTTCCCTTGATCAAAAAGCTTAATATATCGAGCACAGTTTATTATGCGAACCCTTGCATTTTATGAAAGGGTGAAAAGTCATAGATGCGTAAATAATAGGGTTTCACCATCAAGGCTGGAGGGTCCATAGATGGCCTTATTTAAAGTCAATGGAGGGTATATTTATAAAATATGGGCAGCGCGGCGGAGCGAGAGTGGTACAATTGATTTTTATTGGCTGGAATAGTTGGAGCTTATATAGAAAAATATTACATACGAAAATCGAACCAAATAATTGAAACATCACACCACCTTAATAGATTATTCAATTATTGATATTTATTAAAATTTTACGCGAACTTACTTTTTATAGATTCATAGATTCCTAAATAATAGGGTTTAAAAGCTGGGGGTCCATAATCATACAAAGCAATGGAGAGTAGGTATTAAATTATTTTTATTCTGGACACGGTTTTATATAGAAAAATATTACATACAAAATCGAACCATATTACACCCTTAATAGATTCAATTATTCTCTTAATAGATTCCAAAATTTAAAACTGTCATAAATACAAAATAGTAAAATCGACCTCCCATTAATCACGATAAACTATAATGTAATAGATAAAGAAAAAAAGACAGAAGCGAGTTGATACGCGCGTAAATGGTTCCGTATCATCAACTGAGTACACAAAAAAGGTGTACAAATTTCACATTCTAATTATTTTATAGATACTGAATTAAATTGTATCTCTTGCATGGAAGTTATGTTAAATGCAAAAAACTATATCAATAAATGCAACAATACATACAAACAAACAATGCGGTGACAAAGGCAATGAAAAGAGCGCAGAATTTCCGTTTAAACCAAGTACAACACAAAAACAATAGATAAGTTTATCAATTCGAAAGTTGGTCGAGAGTTGATTAAAAAGGGTTCCTGACTTATGTTGACATCGATTGGATAAAAAGTGAACGCATTTTTCAAACCATTGCGGGAACCACTGACCGACCGCACAGAGGAATATCCGACTACAACATTTCCATGTTTCCAATTTCGTCTGAAGCCGGGTTGAAACGCAGCCGCGGGCGGACTGCGGGGTGAACACACCACTTTTGTTTTAGATAACTTTATTTGTGTTCAACTTTGTACAGGGCTCGGAAAAAACGCTACTATAATTTAATTGCATTCTACATGTTCGTGAACGCAGAAATAACTTTAATTTTATTTTAGACAAAAAAAAATATTAATTATGTTCTACCTTTAAAATACAGTTATGATTGAATCCGTAATAGTTTAAACAGTTTGAAACGCGAAGCGCGATTATATTAGTTAATTTATTTTAATTCCCCAGTGAGCACTGCCGCTGAAAAGCACCCGGAAAGGCAGGCCGTAGTTAAGTTAAATTAATATTTAAAAAATAAGTTAACTAATATATTTCGAGTTTTAAACCGTTAAGAATGTACTAATTGTGTTAACTACAGACAATATTAATGAACAAAGAAGTGTTTTGAAATAAACACCTTTTTATTTTTTATACCTTCTAAAACGGCTTGGTTTGGTTTTAAGGGACACTCAAATGTATCAAAAAAGTATTTTTAATATTTATCAGAGATATGAAAAAAATCTTCAATAGTAATTTTGTAGAGTATGACATAACTTGTGTTTATACTTACGTCGAGGGTTCGATCCGCGATGCTGAAAATATATTCTGTCCAGATATATGTAAGGGAGCAGGCATATTTTATAAAGTTAGATGTGTTGTTTGCCTATATTGAACTAAGAAGTACAACTTTATAATTATTTTACCCCTCCTCAAGTATAGCCTTCGGCGGAGATAGATGTCGTGTCCTAATATGTTTTGGATCAGCAATATCGGCGACTGTTAGTTTCACTGTGGGGTTGTTGGTTCCAGGTTTTGGGTACCTCACGCTTCTTATCTCCGGGTATGTCTGAAATAGGTTACATTCTGGTTTATCGCGAAAGAGTTTTCGTTGATACAGCATGAACTAAGCTATATTTTTCAATCACAAGTGTTTCACGAATGATGGACGCGTTGCTTAAAAAATAGAAGAATTAAATAATTAGTACTTCTCATTTTCATGTAGAATAAAGAAAATTGTTACACACATTTGTCTATTCAAACAACTAATGCCATTATCAAAATTTAACACGCAGGATAGAAAAATAACTTAAATAGACTAGTTTTCTCAATCTCATCTTATCTTTAAATTCTTTGCCCGCTGTAGAATATAACTTGAAACATAAAGCTGAGTCAAAAATAACTATTATTGACGTGTAATTTTGAAATTAATAAAATATTTGTGCTAACACCTACAGTCACCATTCAAACATACAAAATTGTTTCTAGAATTTATTCAACAAACATACTAATTTATTTATTACCTTATTTATTTATTTTTGTCTTATAACAAAACTTATTATCGCGTTTCTCTCCGTGGGGCATGGGACGAACACATTTCTGTGCCTGTTTCACTGATCGGTGTTATCAGACCTCTATGCCCCTGCCCGACCGAAACAATCTATTGTTTTCCCAAAAATCGAGCCTAGAACCTCTCTTGCGTAACGCAATGTTAGGCAACACCTTTAATCATTTAGCTACCTACAGAGGCCGTCTTATAACAAATACACAAATAAATCCCTATCTGAAGCCAGTATTCCGACGATAATAGCTACATGTGCGTAAAAAAAGGAATCGGGGATAAACCTCTCGACAAATAAAGCAATCGACTACAGATTAAGCCAAGAAAAGAGGTCGTAATACTATTTATCACAGACCTACGAAATACGAAAACACGTGGGGTGGAATGGAGGTCGTTTACTATTTACAGTAGACGAAAAATACGTTTGATATTTATATAAATACTAAGAAATTAGAAAAAACACTATTAAGTGGAAAGGTGTCAGGAAAGTTGTGAAAGTGACTTGGGCAGGACACGAACCCACGATTAAAGCTTTTGCGGTGTTGTTTCTATTGAGCTACAATTAAGTAATTTATGTCTTAGGTCTTTGGTATTTGACGAGAGGCTTTAAGAAATATCTTGAAATGTCTCCGAACGTTCTGCACGGACCATTATGACGAACAAGACAGTAAGCATTGAGAAAAATACCCAGCAATATTTTGACTTTAGACAAATCACAAATGAAAACAAAGTTAAGACTTCAAGGCTTATTGTCATTTGGTAACGTGCGGTGGTTCAAAGTACAGATTTTATTTTCCTATCCATTTATTGTCCACATTAAAGACAAAATTAAACACTATAGAAAATAAAAACAAGAATGTTCTGAAACATGTTATAAGTACATATAAATTTATGTAAATTGATTTCAGATTCAAAAAAATGTATAAGCCATACATTGCGACCATTACCAACAAATAATGAATACAATACCAAAAGTAAAAAAAATAGCATACCTTTGAAGGGTCATCTGTGTCCAAAGCCGTCCCGTACCATGCGTACTTCTGCTCGTGGACTAAACTGTCATTAAAAGTGGCGTACAGCATCATATGACCATCAGCTGACATCCACAGCGCCTGTCGAGACTTCAGAATTTCCTCTGAAACAAATATTTATATTTGACTAGCTGTGTCAGCGACTTCGTCCGCGTAGAAAAGTTATTTTGAGTGTCAACACTGCCCACAACCACCGCCCTAGTAGATAAGGCGACTTTAATAAAAAGACATTATTCATACATAGTTTTCTCATTAAGTGAATATGTATATTCTTAAAGAAAATAAATTCTCTTTAAACCTATACACATTTTTTTGGTATCTTAAACCGCGAAAAAGGTTAATAATTTTACCTTTTTTCCACATTTCCCGCTTTTTCATTGCTCCTATTAGTCTCAGCATAGTGTTTTATTTAGATATAGCCTTCCTCGATACATGCCAACACAAAAATAATTTTTCAATTCTGACCAGTAGTTCCTGAGATTAACACGTTCAAACAAACAAACATATCGTGATGGGATTAGTCCCATCACGATATGTTTGTTAATATTAGGAGTGAAGAAACAACGGGAAATGTGCAGAAAACGGGGAAAATTATTCATCCTTATGTGTAAATAAAATTTCCCAAATATTGTCTATGTTTTAAGATTAACTTGCAAAAACGACGGGATGCAGGCGATGTCGTGGGTAATAGCTATAATTTATAAAGATGAGGAGGTTTGCAAAAACAAATTTTGGTGCCTAAAACATATTCTACGCGGACAAAGTCGCTGACACAGCTAGTTAAGTATAAAACTACATACATACAAAAGATATATACGACTAAATACAATAAAGAGAGTAACACTATTTAAGAATACAAAGAAAACGATTTCAGTTAAACTTTTAAATTAAAAACTAAGTAAGACACTCTCAAGAGATTGAGAACTATTTTAATCCGAATTCGTAAGAAAATTCAAAACGAACTTTATTTCTAAATGTTTTTTTATTCCAGTGCTTTAAAGACTAATTTCAAACAAGGTTGTACGTGAAACTGGATAATGCTGAATGTTTTTGTATTGGGTAAATTGGCGTGGGAGTGTTTTTTAAAAATTGGGGCGTGAGAATTTTTAGCTAGTTTAGGTTTTTTTGTAAAGGCCACGGCATTTTCGGAAATTAAACCTAGTATCATGATTGAAAATGTATCCGTAGCAAGAAATTAAAGTTTATGGTAATTGAATAATTACGATTTGTACAAAGAATAATAAAGATGTAAGAATTATAAAGACGAAACACGAAATCTTGCGAACAACGACAGGAAGCCGATATTATTTCACTGTTTTTTTTGCCAATGGTGACGGAACTTTATTCATTTTATACAAAGTCGGTTAAATATTGTGAATTAACGATTTTAAAATATTATTATTATTTTTAATCAAAGCCAGACCTTTTACACCGATGGAAGGTTATTTATATGTGTAAGTTATTGCTTATTCATCATTATTGACAGTCGTTGTCATGGCAACCGCCGGCTACTATCGCAGCTTTAACGTTTTATTCAATTTTATAATTAATCTACCTTCAAAACGCAAAGGATATTTTTCCCTGTCCATTCAAAATGAGGCCATTGTTCCCAGCCAACAAAGAAGTTATTTAATGTGCGCCATTTTATTTTCCATCGGAAATTCTTTTCGCCGTTCAGTTACGAATATTTTTCGACAACGCTCTCCTCTAGTCTTGTTGACTTCTTTTGTTTGATTCTAATTAAGCTTTTGTATTTAAAGAATTTATGTATTCCTGACCGTTTTGAAAAAGATTTCTTGTAAGGTTTCAAGTGTAAACGGAGCCATAAATGGGGAGACTGTTTTATATTTAAATAAATAATAAATTTGTAGGGCACCGCGCGAACTAAAGGAAACCTCACACTAAACAGTTTTAACAATTTTAATTACTTGAATTAATTGTATTTTAGCATAGAAAGAGGTATTACTTAGAAAGTAGAGTTATAATTTATTTAGAATAAATAATCATTAATTTATATCAAAATGCTTTAGTATTTAGTTTCGTTTGAGTTACATGTGTCCAAATAATAATATATGATAATAATAACATATTTTTTTCTTAAAGTTCGTTTTGTGGATTATTCAACACGGAAATGATTTCTCGGAAAAGTATGTAAAATAAAAGTTTTATCTATTAACAGTTACGCTTGTTTAAGTTTAAAAATAAATTAATAAATACAATTTAGTTTTTTTAAACCCTCAAGTATGTAAGTATCGGAATTATCTTCAATAATACCTAATGGTGGGAAAGGTTGTTATTTCTAAATATGCGGGGCCCGATAAAAATCGAATCCACGACCGATCAGATATTGTTACTACGGATCGACAAGCTAATACAAAAATCACGAACAAAGTAACATTATGCGTAATTGAGTATGTTTGTAGTGTAATTTATCCGATCTAAATACAAATAAGATTTAACATTAACCATATTAACTGGGTCAGTGGATTGACGTCAGGTCGGATCGCTGTGCACGCGCGGGTGACGTCACTGAGCGATATACAGGGTGTATCATCTGGTAAATTATTACGAGACAACACAATACTTATAGTCCTATTATATGTTATTATTATTAGTATTATTACGGAACTCCTATATTTTTATATTATTAAAAAGACACACATTAATACATAATATATAATACCTCCTTGTGAAACCCCCATTGCCCATATTAATGGCCCTAACAACCCCGTCAAATTCAGTTTACCATTTTTTTTTAATTTTCCTTTTTTAAATTATTTCATTCGAGAGTATTAAAGGTTTTTTTTAATTACATAAAATAACATTTTTGACAGATAAAAAACGTCCTATATACAGAGACTATGTGATATAGTTAATCTAATAAACTTGTACATCTGCCAGACTTGTTTCACATCGGCCATTGACACCGATAAATATAAAAACTCATCAATCATGATTTGTGCACGAGTGTATCATACAGCTAGTCAAACACACACACACATACAAAACTACTTAATGTACCCTTAGCGAAATTTATAATTTAATAGAAGCACCAGAACGTCTGATCAATCTATTTGTTATTGTAAATTTTAACAAAATAGGTCAGTTATAAATATCCATACGATTTTGTGGATTCTGAATATCCAAAAGCTAAATACAGCTCGACAGCGCCTCGTGGCTGATATATGGCTGATGTATCTCACCTTCCATCAAATGAACCTCTTATCTGTCTCTCTATACTGTCTAGAATTATTCTGTCATTAAAAACCGTTAACTGGAGTATAGTAAATATCTGAAAATAAGCTTTTCAGTAAGCGTAAGTCGTGGTTCATGAGCTTTTTTTTTAATGATTGAGTAGGAAAGCATTGGGGTTCACTTTGCTAGGTTTTTACTCCAGCCTCTAGGTCTTTACCAAAATGCAACGTCAACCTATTATGACTTTGGAAATCCACAGACTGAAACCGAAATGCGATTAAACTTCACGGCTTTTTCATCTGTGGACGGCGGTTCGTGATCCGGATTCCGGATCCGGAATTTCTATATTACCATTTAATATCCAGGTTTCGAGACGAAGTCCAAAATGTTTCAGAAAAATTATAAATTAAAAAATTTGAAACATGTTGGACCTGGTGGGGATCGAACCCACGACCCATTGATTGATTAAAAGTTGAAGAAAAAGTCGTGTTTTAAACCATTAAAGTTATAATAGAACGCCTTTATGTTCAATAATATTATTATAATTAGTGTGATAATTTGAAATATAAACAGAATTTCACACGTGGGCTGAGGTTTTGAGTAGATTCTAACATTTCCAATGACACCTCTTTAAGAAGGACTTAAACGCGTTCGTAATGTACTTAGGACCCTCCCTTACATATTGTTTAATCTTAATTTATTATTCAATAAGACGTAATTTGTCAATCTATTTCTTAATAATTATTTCTCTTTGCTTTTGTTTTTAATTAATTCACATTGCCAGTGTAAGGCAGACACATACATATATTTTTATGTATTATCTGTGGTTTATGAGAGTACACATTATTTGAAAGACTTTTAACGGTTTGAAACGCGAAAAACGCGGATGCTGTGCAGCAGCCGTGGTCCCTTGTGCCTATGACTGCTGGAAAGCAAGTCAAAGTCTGTTACTACCTTATTTAATAACTTATCGTGATTTACTTGTCCGTAGATGAGTTGATTCGTTTGCTGTACAAATACCTGTTTTGTTAATAATTATAACAAAAACAATTTTTTTATAGCACGCGTTTTTCTACGTACACATTCATACAAATGAATATTCCTAAATATTTCTTTGACAAAAATAACATTAATCATTCGGCGTAGTTTGTAGACAAGGTTTGTGCAAAGGAAATTAAAAGCGAACAGTTTTTTTCATCTGTCGATGAAAATCCCTGTTAAAAATTCATCCCAGCTTTGATTTCACACCGACGCAGAAATTTGTTTCGTTTGATAAAAGTGTGTATATCGATTGATTTATCAAGTGTTAATTGTCAACAGATGTTGTAATTACTGTTTATAATTTAATTAATTATTATGTTGGAATAATTAACATTCCCGAATCCCGATGCAGATGTATTTGTGTCGCAATTGCGGATCGTGTAATATATTTGGCATTTAATGGTCTGGTGTAATTTATAACTCTATGGCTTAGTGACATTTGAAATATTGCTTTTTACACGTTTCAAACCACTATGAATTTCGAAAATTCGCAAGGGGCTAAACCCATGGCAAACAATTTCTTAGTTCCTTGCTCCACTAATGAAACTATGGTGTATAAAATCTATATTTAAAGTTAATGAATTATTTTTGAAAGATTTGTTCAAAAAAATTATGTCAGACTGAATTAATTTTCTCCCATAAGACTTTTATAAAGTGAGCTTCACAATTTTTGATAGTCGACTTTTCACATCGGAGATATTTTTTCTATATTTATCTCCTTTTGAAAATTGTATTATTTTTTACATTTTATTGCACATGAGGCCACTATATAATTTAAAAATCGGAATTAAGTTGAAAAGAAATTTCGATTCGGGCAGGACTTGAATCGGCATCGTCGGCGTTCCGTGCTGTTGCTCTACCAATTGAG